ATCTATATGGAAATCTGTCAAAGAAATTTGGACAAAGCTAGGAGGAAGCTTAAAAAAGGTACTTGTAACACCTTCCCAGTTTATATACAAAAATCAACCCCCCCCCAAAAAAAGGGTCATTAAGGATGGGAAAGGGCATTTCCATTTGCAATTGAATTGCTGGAAGAAAAAGATGTCCCTTAGCCTCAGGGCTCAGTGTAAACTCTATTCCTGAAAACAGTTTTATTGCATTTGCCAAGAATTTCTTGCCCCAAGGTGCATACAGATTATGTCACCACTGGATGTCACTTTGCTTTAGAAACTCTCAGGTTTTTCCTTTGCAACCCTGCCTCTAATTCAAAAGGTGGTGGTGGGGGGTTGACCCTCAAAGTTGTGTAGAGAAAAAAACTTTCAATTCCAATACCAAGGACTTGTCCAGACAGCTCTAATATTAGAGATTCAGATCACTTCCAATTCCTACAGTCCAGATGTGAGAGACTGCTGAATGGTGCACACAGCATAACAAAGACCAGCTGTGGTGGCTTCCTGCGAGTGATCTGTGGGAAACACACTTGCCCTTGTATGGGGCAATTCAGAAGCTTCTAGTTTTGTGCTACAACAGGCAATCACGACAGGAAGCTACCATCTGGGCAAATACTAATGTGACAAAATCCCAAGACAATAGCAAGCAGCTTTGCTGAGGGGGTGCTCTCTGCTTCTCTCTCTCTCTCTCTCTCTCTCTCTCTCTCTCTCTCTCTCTCTCTGACATACACACACAAGCTTCCCATTCTCGAATAGGATATATTCAACAGAAAACAAGAATGCATACAAGTTCCAAAACTAAGGAAATACTTTGCTCACTAGCCTTATTTCCCAACAGATGCTGAAACTGATGCTTCCATAGTTTGTTTTGTGAAGAATAGGAGGAATCCACCATAAGTGATCATTCCATTAGTGCAAGCATTCTGGCTTACCAGGAAAAAACAACACCCACCTCCCCAGTGCTGTTCCAGGGGTTTTCCAGGATACACACCCTCTGAGCCAGGGGGTGGGAGGAGGAGAGGGGGGATAGAAGAGTCATGCTAAAGCAATATTGCACTACAGTTCTACTCTCTTTTTTAAAAGTCAGGTTTTCTGTGGTCTTAAAAGAAACAGAAGAAACACCAGCTATGAAAACACCCCCTGCTCCCTAACTCCTTAGGGTCAGGAATATTGAACTCCGTGGCAGTCCAGGTATTACTGGACTCCAACTCCCTTCAGCCCCAACCAGCATGGCCCATGCTCAGGGATTGTGGGAGATGTAGTTCAACAACTTCTGGAGGGTCCCATGTTCACTGCCCCTGCCTTAGAACAGAGAAAACCCAACAAGGGGGCTGGATTTAAAGAACATCCACTAGTGCAATGGGGCTTTCTTCCCTCGCATTCCTCTGCGCACCCCCTGTACACCTCAAATTGGCTGGGCTGGAGGGAAAACCTCCCAGAACAGTGCATCGGGGGTGGGCGATTGTTCCATCAAGCAAGAAGAAATGCTCCCACTGACGGAGGGACCTCCTTAGCGCTGTATTGAATTCCTCCCAGAAAGTTTGGACATATTCCAGGAATATAAGAATTCTCTCTTTTTAAAGAGGTGGCGCTGTGGGTTAAACCACAGAGCCTAGGACTTGCCGATCAGAAGGTCGGCGGTTCAAATCCCCGCAACGGGGTGAGCTCCCGTTGCTCGGTCCCTGCTCCTGCCAACCTAGCAGTTCAAAAGCATGTCAAAGTGCAAGTAGATAAATAGGTACCGCTCTGGCGGGAAGGTAAACGGCGTTCCCGTGCACTGCTCTGGTTCGCCAGAAGCGGTTTAGTCATGCTAGCCACATGACCCAGAAGCTGTATGCCGGCTCCCTCAGCCAATAAAGCGAGATGAGTGCCGCAACCCCAGAGTCGGTCATGACTGGACCTAATGGTCAGGGGTCCCTTTACCTTTTACTAAACGTTAGCAATATGCTTTTTCACTAAATTCCAGTCTGACCTGAACACTTCTAAAATAATCATGATGCTGATATACATGTTAAAGTACTATTAGCAGTAAGGGAAAAGCACAAAACGCTATACTTTTTTAACTGCTGGTGTATAAACTTCCAGGAATAATTCACAATATTTCTTCACCTAGGCACACTGTAGCAAGATCACCACTGTTAATATGCAAGCGTTAGTAAAAATAGACATACTCGTAGGAGTGAATATTACTTGTAGCATAAACAAAGACACCAATTGGGTTCAATATCACCAATATCATCCCACCGTCACCATCAGAACTAGCATAAAATACTGGCTGTGTACACAAGGCCAACTGCTAAATTAACACACCTCTGTAATTTCCTCCTAACCCTTATTTATAGGGCAGAGGGAGAAAGAAAACACATCCCTTTAGAACATGACATTTTTACCCAAAGCACAAGCAAAATAATTCTAGAAATAAACACTATAAATGGTTCCTGAAAGTGTTATAAGGGACATAAATGCATACAGAGGAGGAAAATCCCAGAATGTTTCTAAATGCCCGTTTCCTTTATATGCACACTCCAATACAAATTGACCCAGCAGAGGAACCTTTCACATGTGTTTAATATCCACCACAAGATGGCTCCCTGTGCATTTCATTTAACCAGTCCATTCACTTTCTTCAGTTAACTGACTATACTGCCTCACTAATAGTGCTGCCTGCTTTTAAGGAATTGCCTCTTTCCAAGACACCTATAGAACACAATGAATACACCTCTGTCTCAGGAAAGTAAACAGGAATTAAACAATAGAGAATTGCTATCAATCTGAGGCACTCCTTGTGAGTTTTCTTGCCATTGTCAGAGTACTCTACTAAATATTCCTTTAGTCTGATCCAGCAAAACAATTTATGACCTTGCTCTGCAACTTTAACCTTAGAAACACCTGTCCCCCTCCTTCCCATACTTTTCACTCTTGACTTTCCTCTGATCTTGGTGTTCATGCAAGCAGAATGGGAGCAAGGAAGCAGATCAGAGATGGGGAACCTGTGGCCGCAATATGTTGTTGGACATAATCACACATGAACTCCAGGCAGCAATGCCAATGGAGAGTGATGATGGGAGCTGTAGTCCAGCAACACCTGGAGGGCCACAGGTTTCCCAACATCACTGGGGCCCCTGGTAGTCTTAGCAGGTGCAACTGACAACAGCAGTGGTGTGATCTGTGGCAGGCAGCTAAAACCCACCACTTTAATAACCCAGAATATCCTGAAATAATGTTACTCAGAGATGCTGAAAGGATTTTAAAAGAGTGCATGACTTCCCAGACCCATCCATTAAAATGTTGGCATCCATCTGTCTCGAGGTGAGCAGTACAAAAGTGACCTCCCTAGGGTACAAGCCTGGGCAGTGTGTATGGAAGTCCTGGGCTGCCCACACAACAAAACCCCTCTCTCATCCTTGCTGATGTGGTCCAAAGGAAAGCAGAGCAATACATCTGGCATCAGTTTGGCTGCAGGAGTTGCCAGAAGATGGCGTACAAAGCACCACCCAACCATCAGGGACTCCACTCCAAATTCTTGTAGGGTTTACTCCTTAGCCTTTTCTTCTCCTGAAGGTACCCATCCATTACTACCAGATAAACTCAAGGTCAGGGAAAAAGATAGCAGCCCGTGGCAGACTTTGGGGTCTCAAATTTCAACAGTGCGCTGTGCAACACTAAAATTTAGTGCTCCCCAATCTCTCTCACTCTGTTCTACAGCATTGGTGTGGTGCAACCCTCCAGTGCTGTTGAAGCAGTCACACTACCCTAAAACTGCCTCTGTAGGTAGGATGGAAAACTATGTTTTATTTTTGTACCACCTTTTACTCTAAGGAGCACAAGGTGCTGTGTGCATGGTTCTCCTCTCTCCTTTTCTCTTCACAACAACCCTATTACACTGAAAGACAGTGACTGGTCCACTGTCATCCAGTGAGCTTCATGGCTGCGCAGAGATTCGAACCCTGGTCACCCAGGTCATAGTCCATTGTATGTCCATTGTATCACACTGGCTTTGTATCACTCTGTCCATTGTATCACACTGGCTTTCAAGGTTCCACATGTGACCGGTCCCTCCTAGGCAGAGAAGCTAAGTTAGGGTGAGTCATATGAGTCTTTCTGAAGAAAGGGTGCAGTAATCTGCGCAGGGGAAGGATGGCAATTAAAAGTGGATTAGTAAATTAAGAAAAGGGTAATGGAAGGCAGGAGTTCACATCCTCTCCATTTGCCAGAAGGAATCAGGTACATGTGGTTTGTGTTATGTGAGTCCTGCATACCACACTTGTGATCAAGTCATAGAATAAAAACATTTCTATGGAGTCTGGAAAATATTTGAAATATTATACTTCGAAATACAGCATAACCTCCAATTATCCAAGTCTCTTAGGCTGCAATCCTATACTCACAGACTCCCACCGAACTCAGTGAAGCTTACTTATGAGTAGGCAGGTATAGGAATGTATTATTCCTTACCCAAGTTCACTTTTTGTTGTCCCTTGAACTAGCTCTCTATATTAAGCACCCCATCCTCTGCCACAGACATCTGGTTATCCATACATTTTGGATGCCTCCCAATGCTCTCTGATAAATGAGAACATACTGTATATACATTACCTTTCAATCTATAAAGGTACGTTTTACTGTTGGAAACCACAAACCTGCATATAATTCATTGCATCATTTAAAGTGTCATTAGCAAATGCTAAAGTTTCCCAAAGTTAGTACACACTATCCCAGCTGTGGAAGACAATATATTTGTAAAGCAGCTAGGATTACAATCACAAATAGGTACAAAATGGAAGGTGGAACTGATCCAATGCTAGCTATAAATCCTGTGAAAAACCAACCATCAAAATCCACAGTAGTAGGGGAAATGGCACAACTAGAAGTCATGACACCCATCCCCAGCTCCACCAGTGCTCAATAGCCATGATGACCTAATCAAAGTTCCACAAAAGACAAGCCTAGTCTGCAACCCCAGTTCACATAGTTCTTACCTGGCTAGGTTGGGCTGCAGAATCTTTGATGCTGACCTTCCCATGAAAAACCATTCAAACCCATCCTCCCTGAAGACCTTCCTGGAGATCAGTAGCATCCCTGTGGGAGGAAAAAAAGAAGATGAGCTGAAAGGAGGAAGAAGAATCAACTCACAATGACAAGCTGACTTATTTGTATGGCTTTATATGATGTTGTACAGATTTATTTTCTCTGTTTGTTGACACTATGATTCTTTTTTGTTCTAAATGTGTTTTTGAGTTGTTCTATTTATTACTGTTCATTTGGTATTTTTTTTGAGCCACTTTCAGCACAATTTCAAGGAGAAGTGGCATATAAATAAATTGATGATGATGGATACTACAGAGGAAAATAATGCTGAGAGCATTAGGGCTGATCTGGATGCACCCTCACAGCATTCAGTCAAAAACTAATAATCCAATATCTGCAGGGCCACAGGTTAGCTACTCCTGTTTTCTTGGATTAAACATGGGGGATGGGATAGCAATCCTGCAAATTTTGCAAGAGAAGCTGGTTGGGTACTGGGCTGTTTAATTGTCTAATATTGCCAGCAAGAAACCTTTCCCCAATATCCTTCAAACAGCAGGCTCCCATCTGAGTTCACAAATCACTGTCTCAACCACCGTGCTACAGCACTCAAATCTATGTATGTAAAGCTCAGTCTTTCCAAACAGTTTTTTAAAAAATATGTTCTCACAGTAGATTGAACCATTTCATGAAGCAGTTGTTATCAGTAAGAAGCACCTTAGGAAATGATATGATTTTGAAGGCTCATCTCTCGTTTCCTTGGAACCACTCTTGTATAGTTTATGTATTTTATTTCCAAGACTTATATACAACTAAAATTAAAGCCAGTTATTAAATCATTAAAACAGACAACATAATTTAAATCCCTCCAAAGGCTTAAGAGAACAGATATATTTTAACCTGGCAACAGAATCCAAAGAAAGCTGAAGCCATCCATGCCTCCAGGGGCAAGACAGTAATATTTTTATCAGATAATGTTTGATTACAAATCAATGTACAGGCAGCGGAGCAGCATATATAATTCTGGTGGAAATCAGGTGCATGCAGAAGAGCTTTTAGCAATTAATAGTAGGAAGTAGCATATAGTAAGAGAAGGTGCCTTTTCATGTCACTGCAAGCATCACCCACTAGCAGAACAGCAAGAAATACCCCAATGGTGATTTTAGGGCCTGCAGTGGCTACTACGGGCAGAGGAACTTCAAGAAGTAACTTAGTCTGAAGTCAGTAAATAAGTCAACATTAGGACCTTAAATCGGACCCTGTGGCCTATAGATAACCAGTGTAGATACCACACTTTCCTCCCACTGCCTACCCCCAAAATTGGCTTGGGGGGTATTGAGAGAACTTCTAGAATAGTATGCACAGGGGCTGGGAAGAGAAGAGGGGTCATTCCATCCGGCAAGCTGAAATGGTTGCACTGACAGGACAATTGCCATAGCACTATGTTGAATTCCTTCCATACAATAAAGGACACAATACCTTCCAACTCTATAATTCTATGAAATGCAAGGATTTAGAAACAAAGTCACCACTTTGTGCTGTTAGAGTGACCATGCTAGTCAGTATCAACTAGCGATGAATGATCAGCAGAGAGAATGGAACCTGTGGGTTGAAGGGAACAGATCCAGAGAGCCCATTGCCCACAGGATGCTACATCTGGAAATGCTCTTAGACAAATGTGAAGTTTATATCTTCCACATTGCTTTCCAGATCAGCCTTTCCAGCAAGCTACCTGTGATCTTCTCTCACAGGCTCTCAGCTGTGGTAGATTAGTTTAAAACCGATAGGCTAAGCTGGTGCAGAAACAAAAGGACTTCTGGCTTCTTTTCAAGGTTTCATAAAAAAAAGGTGTGCAAATATCTTTTTTATGACTTTCACAGATGATCATCAGATGATCTGAATCCCACTACAAAATATTTTTTAATAAAAAACCCTGAAGACTGCTTTAAACCAGTTTCAGCTTCCTAAAACTCGGGGGATCACTTACCGTAACTACCTGGATTTGTTAGTATCTGGAAATATACCATAACTTCATTGCCACAACCTAAGATATGTATACTTTTTGCAGGATACAACAGGAATAGGGGTCACTATTCAGGGAGGAAATTACCTACACTTTTACCAGCACATGCAGATAATATATTATATGATAGCTGTCTTCAAATATCTGAAGGGCTGTCACATGGAAGATGGAGCAAGCTAGTTTCCTCCTGCTCTGGAGGGTAGGACACGAACCAATGGCTTCAAGTTACAAGAAAGGAGATTCCGACTAAACATACAGATAAATCTTCTGATGGCAAGAGCTGATTGACAGTGTAACAGACTCCCTTGGGAGGTTGTGGACTCTTCTTCCTCGGATGTTTTTAAGCAGAGGTTGGATGGTTAAATGCTATGGATGCTTCAACTGTGATTCCTGCATTGAAGGGGGTTGGACTAGATGACCCTTGGAGTTCCCTTCCAACTCTATTATTCTAGTCTGGTTCTGGCATCTAAACAGCAAATATACTAGCACTTCTAATAAAATTGGATATTTATTTATTTTATAATTTTATATCATGCTTCTCTCCTCAGTACCAGCACCAACTGAAGCTAAGAATCAGGTCGCAACTATGGACTCAACGTTGCGGACTCTGAGGTTGTGGTGCTCATCTCGCTTTACTGGCTGAGGTAGCAGGTGTACAGCTTCCAGGTCATGTGGCCAGCATGACTAAGCCGCTTCTGGTGAACCAGAGCAGCGCATGGAAACGCCTTCCGCCGGAGTAGTAACTATTTATCTACTTGCACTTTGACATGTTTTCGAACTGCTAGGTTGGCAGGAGCAGGGAAAGAGCCACGGGACTCACCCCGTCGTGGGGATTCAAACCACCGACCTTCTGATTGGCAAGCCCTAGGCTCTGTGGTTTAGACCACAGCGCCACTTGCATCCCCACACCTGCAAAGAGCAGCCTAAAAATGACTTGACAGTAAGCACAAACTACTGTAAGAAGCTGCTTTCCTGCCTGCTGTTCAAAAGCAGTCTATTGAAGATCTGCTGGCTGGGAAGAGTTTCATGTCAAGAAGTAGGTTGGAACACTTCCCTAGCAGTCAATCTACCCATAAAGGCAGTGTTGTGTAGTGGTTGGAGTATGGCCTAGAAGAGCAGGTTCAGAGGCCCACTCACTGGGTGACCTTGGCCAGCTCAGAGTCTCTCAGTCTAACCTACCTCACAGAGTTGTTCTGAAGATAAAATGGAGAGGAGGAGAGCCATTTGCAACAACACCTTGAGCTCCTTATGAAAATGACAGCAATTTTGAAATTATAAAAATAATAGCAACTGCAATAAGGAACCACAATCAGTTGCTTCACAGTGGCCTACAGGTTCAGGTATCAGTCTGTTGAAACTAGTACTGTGTCAAAACCTGTCCTCAAATTTCTCAAAAGTTTTCCTGCCTCGTTCTCAGTGGACTTTAGAATTTTAGTGGGTTTCAAGACAACCTATCATTTCGGAAGGTACAACAAGGGTCATCTAGTCCAACCCCCAGAAATGAAGGAATCTTTTGCCCAACGTAGGACTCAAACCCATAACCCTGAGATTCGTGCTCTACCGACTAAGCTACCCCATAGAATGGTTTTTTTAAATGAGACACATATTTGGCACACCACTAGCTGAAACTGTTTATCCTGATCACAGTAGCATCGTTGGAACAAGTGAATACTCTCTAATTTAGACTCCCAAGTACAGAACAACAGAGGGCGCGGGGTGGGCTACCTCTTGTGAAGCCAATTCCAGGGCTGCCTGACAAAGTCATAACTGAAACCCTCAGCATGTGCAAAACTGTGGTGCCTTTGCACAGGCCGCAACCCCCTAAGGCTGTCTTGGAGATTGGAGAGGGCTGCGCACTGGCACTGCAAGAACTACAGGTTTTGGTTTGTTGTGCAAATGATGAACCATGGAATTTCCCCCAATAATCTACCCAGAGTCAGCTGAATTCATTGTTGCCCCCTTCTTGGGCTATTTCAGGACTTCACATTCCAAAATACCTTTTCATACAGAAATGCCTTCTATAACAAACCGGTAACCTATGTGTCTGATATTCTGTCTGGAGTCCAAATTGACTCAAGATGGTTGATTTCATGCATGTGCCTGGGGCCATCTTCTACCCAGTCCACTTTTAGAAACTGCAGTTGTGGTTTCCTACACCAGAAAAGACAGGGTATACTTAATACTACCAAAAGTTTTCTTAATTAGGTAGTATTAAGTATACCCTGCCTTTTATGGTGTAAATAGTCCCCTAGCCAGCAACTGCTTTGCATCCGGATCACTTGCACACAAAAGGTAAATCTTCAGTACTAACTCTCCCTGTCCCATCTCACATCTTTGGGGATTATCCCACTCTGACTCTATGTACCCCCCTTTATGCAGATGGCCAGCAAATTTATTCACAGCATGGAAAGTCCACACATTTCTGCCTTGAAGCAGAAAAGAATAAACTTTCCATGCAGGCATTTGGAGGTGGAAGATGAGACCAGAATACACCTCCCATTGCAGCATTGTTATTTCCAATTATTGCTGATTCAGTTTAGTATATATCCTAGTAATGTTTGTATCTTTTACTTGAATTGAACTGTGTTGATTTATTTAATTTATAACCCCCCTTCAAATTTCAACAAAAATCACCACGCAGTTTACATATCCTAACAAAAAGAAACAAAGGTAAGAAATACAGTGCACATTTCACAATCATAACTGATCTGCTTTGTATGTAAAAGGTCCCAGATTCAATCCCTAACATATCCAGGTAGGGGTGGGAGAAAGTCCTATCTGAAATCCTGGAGAACAACTGCCAGTCAGTGTAGACAATACTGAGCTAGATAGACGAATGGCCTAACTCAGTATAAGGCAACATCCTTTAAGTAATATAATTTAACAATAACAAGTATCTTTGAGGAATGTATGTAAATAAAATTTAAGTAGTACAAAAACATATCATATGCAAAGCATAATCATACAACATATCACAAAAATATCATGAATATTACCAAAAAGCAACACCCCTAACAGTGCAATCGCCAAATTCATCTGCATACACATTCACATGACACACAGCTAATTTAAGCATACAACCTACACATATGCAGTCACACTCTCCTTACATCCACCACATTACTCCATCCACTCAGTTCTCAATTCAAGAAAACATTCAAATGTTCAACTAACCCGGGGTTGTCAACCTGGTCCCTACCGCCCACTAGTGGGCGTTTCAGGATTCTAGGTGGGCAGTAGGGGGTTCTATGGCACAAGCTGAATCCTCCTTCCATCGAACACTGGTGGGCGGTAAGAAAATTTTACCATAAAGAAAGATGCATTAGTGGGTATAAAAAGGTATAAAAAAGGTTGACTACCCCTGAACTAACCAATAATAATCTACAAAAAAAAAAAAAGGTCATAACACAATTCAACAGCAGCAGAAAAACAAAATTCCCATTCCCACCCCCATCTCTCCTCTCAGCTCAGTATGGACATCTTTCCCCTCCTCTCCCCTAGGAAGATTAAGCCCTTACCCACCAACAGGACCTTACATTGTGAGGGGTCAGGTGGACCCACCAGCACACCTGCCACTCACCATCTTCACTGACTTCATTGGCAGATGAATAGACCAGTGTTTCCCAACCTTTTTTGGGCAAAGGCACACTTGTTTCATGAAAAAAATCTCGAGGCACACCACCATGCCAGATGGGGAAAGGTCACTTTTTACTTATGTAAAAAAAAATAAAAAAATAGTAACAGCATAGAAGGTAATGGTTATCTCTTTGATGTCTGATGGGAGGGCATTCCACAGGGCGGGCGCCACTACCGAGAAGGCCCTCTGCCTGGTTCCCTGTAACCTCACTTTTCACAGTGAGGGAATTGCCAGAAGGCCCTTGGCACTGGATCTCAGTGTCTGGGCTGAACGATGGTGGCGGAGACGCTACTTCAGGTATACTGGACCGAAACCGCTTAGGGCTTTAAAGGTCAGCACCAACACTTTGAATTGTGCTCGGAAAGGTACTGGGAGCCAATGTAGGTCTTTCAAGACTGTCGTTACGTGGTCTCGGCGGCAGGTAGCAGCGCTCACAGCTTACGGACTGCACCGTGTAACAGGTGTCTGGCCCAGCAGCCTAAGGCAGACAAGCCACTGAAACAGGCATTCAGAATCCATTCATTTCATAAAACCTGCAGGGCTCAATCTCTGTGTTTGTGTATGTGTGTGTTTCTGTTTTGCCCAAGGGTCTGGGGGTGGGAGAGAGCTCTTTAGCATGATGCTTTTAAAACAATTAAATTATCAACAAACAAACCTGATGATACGAATAGCAACGTCAGGTGCTACGGGGGGGGGGGGGAGAAGGGGGCCTACTCAGAAGTAAATACTGCGTCCAGGCGCAATTAGCGCTGATTTAAGGTGCACCAAGACTGCCTAAAAACCTCACCAAAGATATGCAACAAAGCGCTTCGTTGCAGAGGGGAGAGTTTGTGCACCGTGGAGGCTGGAGGGCTTCTATTCTACATGCGGGGGTTGGGGGGGCGAGGAAAATGTGCTCCGTGGGGGGGCGGGGAAGGCAAAGTTGCAAAAGCGCCCTGCTCCTTCTTCCGCGGAGGGAAACGCTCCTGCGGAGGCGAGAGGCAGCGAGGAGGCGACGAGGTGAGGCTTTTGTGAGGTAGGGAGAGGAAAGACGGGGGAGGGAACCCAAGGAGGATTTGCACGAGAGGGAATGAAGGGGAAACGCGCCTCCCACGTGGAGCACTTTTCCCCGGGAAATGCACGGGGTGGGGTCGTGGCTGATCCGTGCTGCGCGCTCGCGTCGTGCGGCCCAAAGTGCTGCAGGATCGCCAATGCAAGACCCCCTTTTAAAACCTCCCCCTCCCCCAGCTCTGGAAAAAAAGGGGGAAGGGGATGGCGTCGGCGTGCGGAGGCTGCCCGTGCCCGGCCAGGCGTCGGTGGCGGTGTCAGCGCTGCTGCAGTGGCTGCTCCTCCTGCGAGCAGTGAGTGGAGCGCAGCCGCAGCGGCGGCGGGGGGCGCGCGCGCGCTAGGGCGCAAGGCTGGCGGTGGCGGCGGGGAGCCCGGCGGAGGAAGGAACTTGTCCCTTCCCTCTGGACTCGCGCCCCCCGCAGATGTTGCGCCCGGTGCGACTGGCACCCCTGGCACCCCCCACGCTACGCCACTACTCCCACGGCACACTAGGCAACGTCCGGCGGCACACTAGTGTGCCGCGGAACACCGGTTGGGAAACACTGGAATAGACTAAACCTTGTGACTCATACATGGAACATGGGGGGGGGGGGGCAGCAGCTGCGGCATTGGAAAGATGGCTGGGAACCAGTCCATCTGGTGTATTAACTTGTCTTGGGATTGCATGGTAAACGGTTGACTATAAATGCCTATAAGCAAGCAAGCAAACGAAAATGTACCAGATTTGCCTTCACTTTCAAAAGAAATATATATGTTGGTTACTTCATATGACACCTACTTGTCCCTTGCAACTCTTTTTCTGGTGGGAACCCAGAGTGTGGTATTCCTTCTTAATCTGAAAATTGTGGCAGTTTTAACGTGCGAATGTAAAAGTGTTTGAAGTTTGAAGCAGAACGCAAGGCAGTTCTACGTTCTTGCATATCACTCTGCTTTGTGAGGAGTTGCATTTTGCCTGCATCACTGCTGATGTGGTAGCCATTTTGTTTCCTCCAGTTCCTGCACTGTAGTGGGCACTCTCTAAGGAACCATTACCTAGACATTAGTTACAACTTGTAATTATGCATGGATAGATAGATAGATAGATAGATGGATAGATAAATATATTACTACATATTAGCTTAAAAAGAAAAAGAGTGCCATCCTGTGACATCATCCAACAGCATGTTTGGACTAAGTTTACCTCAGGGATGTACATTTTACCTCAAAGTTTACCTCAGGGATACACACTTTGCCTCAAAGTTTACCTCAGGGATGCCCACTTTGCCTCAAAATTTACCTCAGGGATTCACACTTTGCCTCAAAGTTTACTTCAGGGACATGCCATCCTTTTGCCATTCAAATGGTGAAGATGTTTTAAAACAGGCCCAATTGTTTAACCAACATCATTGTTTGAAATGTAACATTTGTTTTTTAAAGTGCAGACTCTTTTCAGCCAGCCCAAAGCCACCAGCTCCAGAAGCTGAGACTGAACCTCACCGAGCCCATTTAATTAATATCCCTCGCTGTGGCCTAATTCTCTCTTCAACATGTGGCTGTCATTTGCCTGTCATCACAGCTGATTTACAATGGGGTTTAATTAAATCCTACGTACATTATTCAGCATTCTCCAAAGGCAGCGCCAAAGCGTCCAAGGGTATTTAAAATGTCACCTGCTGAGACATATCATCTCCCCCTAAATAAATATGACAGTGATCAAACTTTGGCTAATTACAGTGACTTCATTATTTGTTTGTATGTTTTAATATTTAATTGCTTTCGTGTTCATCCAATTATGAAGCAACAGCAAATAGAAATTAACTTTTGATCAGCATGTTCCCAGCCCTGCTAATCAGCACTTCAAAGCCCACACACAATAGGAGGTCATGCAACCTGAGAGAGCTCAACCTTATGCGAATGGATCAGCCTATTTTATTTTATTTTATTATTATTGGGGGGTGGGGAGAGAGATTCACCTTTCCCAGACAGCGCCTGCCTCCCTTGGACACTGCTTCCCACAAGCCTTCTTGTACTGGTTTTGCCATACAGCTGTGTATATTGTTTGCAACTTGATTCACGTGTTGCCTTTCAGATGCACGCAGCTGCAAAGTTTATTTCCCCAATGCAACTAAGCTTCAGGCGCTCCAGTCTCACAGCGGAATGCAGATGCCAAGAGCAAAAACCCCGGGACACCAGAGAGGTCGTGCACGTGAGTGCAGGTGAATGAAACAGGGCAGTTTGCGAGCTTTGAGCAGGAAAGTAGCAAATGGTGCCTTCAGACGCTGAAACCCCGCACAACCCCCTCCCCTCCCCACTACACCCCCTGCTGCTGACTCCACCCATGTGGAATGGAAAACAAGAGGCAACTTGAGGCAACCAATGAACGAAGCAAAGGAAAAGCGCCTGTTGCCAGGCGATGCCAACTGAAAGGAGAACGTGAAGAACTAAGGGAGCCCGATGAACTCAAAAGCCAAACTCCTGTAAGTTTTGAGCAGTATTGATTGCTAAGTTTTCTGTACAAAAATATCCTTTTAGTTCAGAACTGGGTGGTGGCTCACCGCATTGTTGTATTCTAGAGAAAGAATTCTAACTGCTTTCTGCTAATACATTGAGTGTGTATGTATGTGTTTATGAGGTGTTGCAACAGCTAACTGCCTGGATGGAGTCCCTAAAGGACGCAGGGTAGGCTTATGTATGCTGTCTGAGATTCCCCTACTAAAATATCAGTATTAACAGGTCAGGATAAGCATTTTACTTCCAAAAGCAATATTTAAGTTTGCTTCCAAACAGCTTGCTTATTAAGCATTCTCCCTGATTCGTTTGCAGGGAAATTATAGGACATTGCCTCAAGCAATTGTTATCCCACACTTTTCCAGTGGATTTTCCCATCAGTTTCTGTATTGCAAAAAGTCTGGGGTTTGGGGGTGGGGGAAGCCTTTTTGTGCAATCACACAATCTGAATTTGCCAGTATGGGGTTGAATCCCAGTCTAGAAGTATTAAAAATGTAAGCTGGTGGGTGGGGGGTAAAATAGGGTTGTTTCATTTTCTAAAGAAGAGTTCTCTAAAACTAAACAGAACAGCCTGCAGACTATAAGCAGTGGCAGTTGGTGCGTAATATTAAACATGCCCGGTTGGATCCAGGATTACCCTTCTATGAACAAGAGGTACTGAGACCCAGGGGAGGCTCCTGCTGGAGGAAGAGGGGAAGCAGAGTTTTTGCAATTCCTCTGTCACCCTGCAGTTTCCCACACCACCTCCCATACTGCTTTGGAGGGAACCCAAAACCCCCAAAGCAACTTTTCAGAAGGGCTGCATGGGAAAGGGAATTGACAAAATTTGCCATACCCCTTTCCCCCAGAGAGTATCCTGTTAGCAGAGTTCCATTCCCATAAATTCTGGACCAAAGCCACTAACTTTGTAAAAATAGCGGCCTCAAAGTGGTTTACAATCAAGCAGTGTATAAATTTTATGAAATAAATAAAATATAGGTGAAAATGTGTCATGTTGCAGCCTAACCCTGAAAATACTGAAATGAAATGCAATAATTGTTTCGATGTCTATGGGCATGTTGCTTCAACTTCCAACACAATCCTTAACATATCTACTCAGAAGTAAGTTCTCTTGAACTTGATGAGGCTTCCTCCTGGCTACATGAGGTTAGGATTGCTGCCCTTTCTTGAAGAGCTGCTAGGAAAAGAGAGTAAGGATAATGGGCCAAGCTTCCATTCTTCATTCCCTAGAGTGGTTTTCTGGAAAGTCAAGTAACCATTTCCTTCTTTCCCTTCTGAATTGGCAACTGGGCTACCAGGTGACACTCACATAGAGGCTGGGTTTGAGCTAGAGGACTCTCAATCTCAGTCTCTGCTATAACTCCCCCCACCCAACACATAGAAAACATTATGTCAGAATGAAAAACTAAGGTGTGTTTGGGGAGTGGAGTAGGAACTTGAGCAAAATTGGGCAGGAATATAGGATGCTATTGACGGTTCATTTCTGCAAAGCCCATCTTCAGTTTTTCATCTGACATAACGTCTCCCGCGTGTGTTTCCTTGCAGAGGAAAGGTTGTTCCAGTGGAATTCTCCATTAGTGTCAGCAAGACCATATTCACAATTACAATGTATGCTTAGCACTTGTGGGAGCTTTTTATAACTGCATTCCTTATCCATGGCTGGTCTGGCCTGTTTCCAGTTTCTCCCTGGGAAGCCAGTGTTTTACCGGGTTAGTTGCAGCTGAGGATGAGAATGGAAAGGTGTGATTGAAGGGCAGTTCCTAGTCTTTAGGAGTAGTCAGTCACCAAGCTATTGAGTCAGTCTGATCATCAGTTTTTTATGGGTGTCATGCTTAAATGCCATAAATCCTTCAGCAAATTTTGAAAGCATGTCTTTCCCCTGAGAATGAAAACAGAATGGATACTGTTCCTGCCACAGTAATTTAAAACACACACACACACACACACACACACACACTACTGTTAGACAAGAAATAGTGAGTGAGAAAAATAGAAAGGGAGGGAGGGGGTGGGTGGGTGGGTAGAGAAAGGGGAGCTGTTACTGCAATGCTATTTGGTCACTCTAATTACCAATAATGGCACCTACTGGCATGCCCAACCACAATCAACTCATTTTAAAAGCTATATAATAATGTTTAGGATAGGAAATTAATTTTCATAGCCACTGCAGCTGATTTACTTGTGCTGTAATTTAGATTTATTGCAAATTAAATTCCCCCAAGTCAAGTGTTTGACTTGAAGAAGCACCACTTTAATAAAAGGGGGAAATGCATTGCCATAGCCAGGAGATGCAGATAATAGCTATATCTGCACCAATACATTTAAAGCACATGACTTTCCTGAAAGAATCCTGGAAACTGTAGTTTGCTCAGGGTGCCTTGAATGGTATCTCTGAGGGATAGACTGCAGTTCACAGGATTCTTTTTTTTGGGGGGGGGGAGCCATGTGCTTTAAATGTCAGTGTGGAGGTGATCTATTTTGGGTGCTGTCCAAACCTCAGTGTACCCATTGAACATATCCCTGCCCCCACAGGGGAATGCTTTGCTCTGCGGTTTGTTCATAACGGAATGGTCTGCTAATGTTCTCCTGGCCCCCCTCACTTTCCCATACATATATAATGTTCAGTAGTGCCTCTGGATGTGAATGGGATCTGTTCTGGAGCCCCATTCACATCCTGAAGTGAACGCAACCCGTGTCTGTGGGTCGCTATTCGCCGCTTCTGCGCATGCACGTGACATCATTTTGAGCATCTGCACATGCACGAGCGGCGAAACCCGGAAGTAGTGCATTCCATTACTTCTGGGTCGCCGCGGAGCACAACCCGAAAACGCTCAACCTGAAGCAACTTCAACCCGAGGTATGACTGTAATTGGCTCCTTCTCTCTTCTCTGGGTCTCTTCCTAGGAACAGAATTGCCACTTCCCAAAGAGTACCCATAACAGGATGTCAGAGGAGAGGGTCAAGAAACGAGAAGAGTAGGGAAAGCAGAATTTATCTCCTCTCTCAGTCCATTCCAGGCCCAGACGGCATGCAGGCACTTGGTTCTCTTTCCATTCCATCTCTGCATTCCTTTGAAACCAGAGGAAAAAAAGAGGAGGAAGCAGTCGACATAGTACTAGGACTCATTGCTTGCAAGGCAAACAAACCTATTCCTGGTTACAGGCAGGACCCTAGAACAGAGGTAGAACCCAAACCTGAGTTTGGAGTGGACAATGCCTGGCTCAAGGGGTGGTATTCACCCTGCTCCGCCCCTGTCACCAACATAGATGTATGGATGATGCTAGCCATCCTGAAAGGGAAACTTCAGTGGGTTGCACTGATGAGATCATGACCATATGTCTCCTAAGCATGGCCCAACCCAGACACAGGTAAGCATCACATCCAAATTAGTATGAGTCATAGTACAGATCCAGTGCCTGCCACTCACTACTCCTTCATAAAAAAATGGCAATGAGTAGGGGCTCATGTGTTGAGGGTCCTTTGTTTCCCCTGCTCTTGCTGCTCTTGGTTTGTGATTTGATTGTAAATTATAATGTTGCTGCTACGTTTTTTATTTTACATTGTTAGTTTTGTTTTTTAATGTGTATGCACTTTCTGTCTTGGTACCTTTTGAATGATTTATTCACACATAATTGATCTGGTTTGCCACTATGAGAACAGAATGCTGAACTATGACAGATAACTCTTTGGTTTGATGCTGCAGGGCTCTGTTGTTCTTATGGACCTTAAACTAGTCAAGCAAGACAATTCTTTTCTTTTCTTTTTGAAATGCTGGAGATGGTTTTTAATGCTGGTGATAATTTTGATTGGATTCAGTCTATTCCCAGCACTGTGCCGCTTTGTACCAAGTTTAAAATCATGCAAGTTTCCACCACATATCACCTGTTCTGAAGTCATTTTGTGGTGAGAATATGGCCATGTAAGTTGAAACCAGGCCTCTTCATATGGGGTAGCAGCTCAACTTTGAGAGATAGGGCACTGGACAACAGATCCAAAATTTCTGCCATCAAGAAAGCTAATCCAGATTTTCTAGATATTGGAACTATCGTTTGCCATGAGGCAATGGTGGACTGTTATTTGAGAAACACAAATCCTAGTCTAACTTGGGTCTGTGGAGATAGTTAAATAGTTCTTTGGAACCAGGCCTCATCTGTATTCACTTCAAACTACCTGAGTAGTCTTTGATTGGTCACCTGGGTTAGAAAGCTGTGAACGTGATTCTAAAATAAGTTTCCTTTTTGGATTGGATTATTTGGGTAGTTTGTTAGGGCTTTGCCTCATTTCTTGAGACTGCAATGTGTTTTTCTGTTCTTGCTATTCCCCATTCTCTTCATTCACCTTTGTCCTGTTTCATCTAACTTGGTTTGTAAGCAGTCTAAGCATGGGCCATTTATCTAGCAAACCATCACCATTGCATTAGTATGAAGTAAAGACTAATTCCAGTGGTAGTAATAACACAGTAAGCAACTGGCAAAAGCATAGTTATATTATGCATTTTTATGAACATGCTAAGCTTGAGGAAGTTCCTGCATGTTTTCATCAAGACAGGATCTGTCTTTGCCATTGACAGATGTAGAGAAGAAATCTTAAAGCTATCAGTGTCTATATCAGGATTTGATGCTGTATTCAGGAAGTAACTTTTTAAGAATCATGCATTTTCTTGAGCCCATTTCACTGGCATCCAGGACCCTGTCTTCACCTGCCCTTGAATTCCTTCTAGTCCTAATGAAGCTCAGCAATCAGTGTGGTGTAGTGGTTAAGAGCAGTAGACTCGTAATCTGGGGAACCGGGTCTGCATCTCCGCTCTTCCACATGCAGCTGCTGGGTGACCTTGGGCCAGTCACACTTCTCTGAAGTCTCTCAGCCCCACTCACCTCACAGAATGTTTGTTGTGGGAGAGGAAGGGAAAGGAGAATGTTAGCCACTTTGAGACTCCTTCGGGTAGTGATAAAGCGGGATATCAAATCCAAACTCTTCATAGGCCCCATGGTTGCACAACTCTGTGCTCTATCCTTTGATAACTTTCACTTGGAAGCATGAACTGCCTCTGTGTTCAGACATTTGAACTGATTTCAGGTGATATGAAAGTGGTTTGCAGTGATGACTGTTTCACATGTGGAAGACCCCCATTGATTTTGATTGATATTGCAATCATCCAGTGATAAACATGTATCTGTGAACTCACTTATGCTAAGTCTTCATCAAGCGTTAGTGAGGGGCTTCATGTAGAATCTCCAGAAACATAGCATGAGTGTTAAAAGTACTTTTCTGCCTCTGCTGATTGTTAAGGAAGACTTGTGGGGGGAAAGGACAGTTGTATATGCTAAAGAATTCATGAATCCTCATTTCAGTGGTAGGGGCTTTCGTCATTCCCTCTGTTTAATATCATTTTGCTTATGTATGTATTTATTTTCAGCCATCTGACTTTAGTCCATTGATGAATGATGACTTGCCCTGTTGAGTTGCAGTCTTTTGACATGTGTAAAGAACCCTGGTCCCAGAAAGGGTGAGCTCTCTAGGTTGAAATTTGGCTTCTTACTAGTGAGGAGGTCAGGGAGCTGTCCAGCAAGGCGAAGGAATACTAGGTCCTGCAAGGTTGCTGAATCAGCAGGGGAGCTGTCCAGCTAAGGAGTCGGAAGTAGCACTCCACATCTAGGAGCTGGGCTGAAGGAGGTGTGGCATCAGAAACATTCAGGCAGTGCATAAGAGGTTTTATAGTGGTTTTGTTCCTTCTGGAGCATCAGAGGGACCCTAGTGTGGTATATTATTGGAATTAGAGGTTTTCCTTTTAAATAGTGTTCAGAGATGGAATGCCTCATGCTACCAGATTTGGGCTGCATCTTTTGTTCTGAGTATTGGAAAGGTGTGTTTGCCAACACAAATCTACAGAAGTCTGTTCTTCAGGTATACCTTCGTTTACACCATGTTTTTTCTTTTATCTCAGTATGACTGCAATAATAATTGGTTTCATATACTTTTTGATGTGTATTCAAAAAAAAATAATTCTTCAGCTGCAGCTAAATTCTCAGTCTATTTGGGATGAAATAGTTGTACAACTTTTGCTTTAAGCTAAGTAGAATCCCATGTCTTCTGTGTATTGTATGCCGGCCCTTTCAAGTGACTCTCAGCCACCAAGAACCACTTAATACAGGAAAATGGGTCTTTCAAGATCCTCAGCTGAGTTGCTTTGAGACTGGGTATCCCATATATTTCATGCACCCCTTTCCATATTGCTTTATAGGCATTTCCCCCCACCAGTTGTAATGTTGATTTACATACAGTCCATCCAAATAGTCTGGAGAACACACACACACACACAAATTCTGGTGATGTGAAGGTGGGAATCATAGGGCTTCTTTTACCAATGTCTATTATTCTGATAAAAGAAAATCTGAATAAATGAAGTTGTGGGGATTTGAAATCAGAGTTTTAAAGAGAGAGAAATCAGAAAAAAATGGATATTGGTCAAATATTCACATTATTCACTTGGCTTTAAGATTATCAGCATATGATTTCAGCTGGTGCAGAGGTCCCTAAGTACCAGGATGCTGATTCTTGGAAATATGTATCGAATTAGCATTTTATGGTAGAACCCTGTGTCATTCAATGAGGGTGAATGGTGGAAGATTCAGGACAGAAGAAAAAGGAAGTACTTCTTCATACAACACATAGCTAATCTATGGAATTTGGTGCCACAGGATGTAGTGGTGGCTGCCAATGTAGAGAACTTTAAAGGGGAATTAGACAAATTCATGGAGAATAAGGCTGTCTGACTATTAGTCATGATGCTATATATGACCTCCATTTTCTGAGACAGTATGGGCCATATTCAACCAACCTGCTGTGTTGACAGAAGCCAGTGCAAGCATTCCTGCCACAGCAATGGGAATTCCTCCTTATCCTACTCCCATATATGTCCCATGGCATTGCTCTGAGAAGTTGTGGGAACCACCAGAATAGATAGAGAGCAACACAAGGAGCAGGAGAGGGGGTGGATATAATGCAAGCTTATATTCAGCATAGTACTATCTGAATTCCTGTTGCTGGAACAGAACAGAATGCTGGAACAGACAGAGGTCTGGTCTAATCCAGCAGGGTTCTTCTTCTGTTCTTATGCTGTTCGTAAACTTTTTCCAAAGCATCAGCAGCTGCCCCATGTTAGTCAGAAGAAAGGAAGGTAAGTGGGACATTGATCTGACTTGAAAAAGTTTTTCTTTCTTTACCCAGGATGTCAAGAAAGGTTTCTTAAGTCACTGCTTTTCCAAAAGCTGTCTGTGTAAGGAGACAGAGAGTAGATAAAACATTTGCCATTTGTGTAGAGTGGATAAAACATTTTACCAATTTTCTCAAGAGAGAAATGGACTTCTGAAAAGTTATGCAGAAACCTGGCTGTGCAGTTCCCACTTTAAAGGGCAGTTGCAGACTCTCTAATATTCATGATGAGTGGCATCTTCCTTGATCCTCTCTATCACCTAAAGTTATTTAAAATAGATAGCCCTCACATTTTGAAGGAAAACATGCATATGGACTAGGTTCCCCAAAACCCTGCCAACTACTTCTGCACACAGATTGGGATATGGCAAATCAATTTGGAAGCCGAAGGGACTGTCAAAAGCAGCTTATGATAGGGCATGGCAACACACAACTCACATTGAGTATGCCCAATACCTAAGGTAGTCCTTTGAATCCTGGCCATTATATCCTGCTGACCATGAAGTTCAAAAATCCTTCTGAGAAGGAATTTTGCAAATCTTTTGCTTGACAGATGTCAGTCTTCTGAGCAGGCCCATTTGTCACATCACAGAAGCAAAATAAAAAATAAAAAATAACAATTTGCAGTTGAGTGGGGGAGGCGAAGAGGGGGACTTGTATTGAGGACCTTGTATTGAGGATTCACAAAACTTATTATATTACCCTTTGTTGAATATTTATTGAACAATCTGAGTGATTATTGGTAGGAGGCATGGGTTTGAACAAACCACACCCACCTTTAATTTCAAAAAGAGCCCCGTTTTCAATTTCTGCCTAGTTCAGCCCCACTATCATATGCTACATATGTCAGGGCCATTCATGTTTCTTTTCAAACATGAGTTAGGATTGTTTGCATTTTAATCACCCTTTAGAACCCTGTTCCCCCCTTTCACGTTTTGCCCTAGGCACGAAAGCTTATTGGACAACTGAATAGCCTGACTGTATAAAGCTCAGAAAAGAATGAAAAAGTAGGAAGAGGCAGCAGTGACCAAAACTTGGAGATTGTATGAAGCCTATCAAGAGGAGACAGTTTCCCATTGGTTCCCCTATACCCGGGAGAAGAAGGCCTTTTAGCAGAGTCCTTATGCATTTTATATTTACCGACTGTCCCAATAGCAGATAAAGGCAAATAAGGTGCAATGGATGGAATGAGGTCTAGGTGTTTTCCCAACCCCCTGATCTCAATTGTAGAGAAGTGATATGAACTTTCAGGACTTTGCTACTCACAAACTTTGAAAGTGGCATGGGGCATTGCCCCATCAGACCAGCCAGTGCCCCTTCACAACCTAATAAAATTTTTGACCACATCATCTTGCATTACAATGCAACCACAAGATTCCAGTGGCCCGGGTGGCATTGGAGATGGCCAGCTGCCTGCTTCCTTGAAGTGCTGCACTTGAGAAAGCCCTTGTTAGAAAGGAGCCGTTTCATCTCATTCTTTTATTTCCCAATCAGTCCCAGGGTTTCCTTGCTGCAGCCTCAAAAACACACACACACAACAGTTTCCAGTGGGTGTAATTCAATTCCGAGAAAACAAAATAACCACCTGCGCATGTGGCTGGGATTCCCTCCCCCCACCCCCGCCAGTCCGCTCTCTCACACTGCCCGTCTTCACCTATTAAAAAAAAAAATCTATAAGAGAGAAGCCGAAGAAGGGAACTTGATGAGAAATTCGTATGCCAGCCTTCCCACCATTGTAATTTCATTCTGTCTTTGTAATTGTCTGATATTACATTGTTCCCTGCCGGAAGATTAATTAGCTAGTCTTACCCTCCAACATACCATCCCTCTGAAACCCTCAAGGAAGCTGGCGTGGTGCCAAGTCTTACGTATTTGCTATGCAGGCTGGCAGCTGCTTCTCTTCTCCCTTAACAACAGTTGCTGTGCCAACTGACCCCCTTTTCCCCTCCCTCCCCCCATTGCTCCCCTACCCTGCGCCAAAAGAGGTAGCTAAGTTTTAATGGCAAAGGCTTCTTGGTGGGGGTGGAAAGAGGAGGGGAAAGGGGGAAAATAATAATAATAATATTTTTTTTTAAATAAAAGACCCGCGCGCACACAACCCGAAAGTCTGATTGGCATAATTACTCACACTCATTAAGTATGGCTGCACTGCATATGCAAATCGAGCGAGTCAAGTGCAGAAGGCGCGTCAAAGCTGCTGGAGCACCAATAATGCCTTTCAGATTCCTCAGTCCTGTCTAGCGTTGTTGGGAAGAATGCGAGCGAGATGGCATCTTGCAGGGATGGTGTGCCGGACTGACAGAAAACAGCCTTTGCATTCAAGCTCAAGACCTATGACGTTTTAAACAGAGAGATCCTTGAACAGGGAGGACAAGAGAGGGGGAAAGAAATCAGGAACAGAGGGGAAGGAAAGAAAATGGGACAGGGGGAGTGAAAGGTGGGAAGGCATGGGGAACGTGGCCAGCCATTTTGGATTTAAAGGAAACAGTGGGGCAAAGATGAAGGAAGACACAAACCTGCCTAGATACGGATCCTCGTGTCTACCCCCCTTTTTTTTACTTTTCCTCCTCCTCCCAACAGGTCACCCTTCTTGGCAATCAAGACATGGTCTTTCGCAACTCCCATTAGCTAAGACAATGGCATTTTGCATACACGCTAAAAACCGCTTATTTTGCATTCAGTTGGCAAGGAGCCCGATCCCACACTGAATACCTCGGCACGCTGGGCAGTATATATTTTCCGCTTTTGTTTGGCTCAGTCTTTGTTTTTGGCAAAGGATTTAAAAAGAAAATTAGCCTCCCTCTGCCTCCATTATTTCCGCATGTTCATTTTTAATGCTGAGAGCAGACTTAAAAGAAAAAAAACGGCGAATACCAAACAAACATGTTTGAGCAAAGGTGTTTTTTTGTTTTTTTTGATGAGGGATTGTGACTTTTCTTCCCAGCCAATAGACTCATTTTAATTTTCATCCCATTTCTGTTTGCATCTGTGTTTGTGGTCTATCAAAGAAAGCTCTCCCCCCCCCCCCGGGCGACTCTCGTCATACAGCGCTGATGAATGAATTGTTGCTATGTTGTTGTTTTGGGGAGGGGGGATGGAGGGAAGATGTAATTCATAAGCTTAATGAAAAGAAAAATTGGCACATACATAGATCCTAACACAAGTGGTAGACCAGTGCAAATTAAACTGCAGGCAATTAAGTTACCTTAAAGATTGGATGCTTTTGCTGAGGGTCTCCAAGTAGCTATGACCGTCTTCTAATGCTCCATATTGGTTGGAATGTGACTTGTTTGTTGCTTAGGCTCACTGTTGTTGGGTTGTTGTTTTTTTTGCCACAGAGTAAAGCGATGTGGAGAAATGCCCATCTCCCCCCACCCTACCCTAGTGGATTCCCGGGTGGGATTCTTGCTGTGGCTAAGGTAGCATGGGAATTTTGACAATAGAGGATATGCTGCTTCTGAAAGCAGGTCATTAAAAAAAGAAAAGTAGATAAATGGAGGAGGGAAGGACCCCTGCAATTACCAGTACTAAGAGCTCGTAAGAATATTTTGGACGGGCTACACCTTGATTACAGTTTTGTTTATGCAAGATGCTGCGTCCAGTGGCAGGAGCCAAGCTTGCAGATGGTGTACGTTGTTTTGTCAACCAAACTGCAATGCACGCTTGTGGGTTTCCACTTGGCAGTCAACGGAGGCTCTGCAAAAACATTTTGTCTTGCCTTCATGAGCGCGTGCCATCTCTGAGAGACAGCAGGGTTTCCGTGGCACAGTCTTGGCAGTAGGGAGCGGTAAAATGTTTTCTAAGCAGATGACACGGAAACTGCAGGAAGTGATCTAATATTGTCATGGGGTCTAATTAAGCTCTACCAAGCTTAATACCGAAGCTCCGATGGAATACTGGAGCTGAAACGTACCACTGGAGGGTCTCTCCCGCCCCTTCTCCCCCCCCCCTTCACATCTTTGTGTACTACACGAACATGAATTAAACTCTGATGAATGTGGTATTAATTAATTACACGAAGATGTGCATGGTAAGGGAAAGGGGAGTTGTGTGCTATGCAAATGAGCCTAGGATGAATGGCTGTAAATTTGTTTTATGCTGCGTTGTTTTCCCTTCTCTCTTTGCCCACAAGGTTGAGTGACAAAACTGTGTGTTAATAAGTCAGCACGCCTAACCTGCAGGCACCAAACACAGGCATCCGAGAGATTTACAGCCATCTGTCTCACAGTGTCAAGATGAGCGGTAGGAAGGGGGTGACTCGAAGGAAGAAAAGGGAGCTCTTGCAGCCAGTGCCGCCATTTTCTTGCACTCAAGAGGGTGGGGGAGAAATCTGTGTTGCATCTCCTGAAATGGCTGTTCAGAAAAAGAGCTCACTCAAGAGTTCACCCAGTTTCTTTTCCAGAAGGAGCCAAGTTCTCAAGAAGGAATTATGTCTTGTTGTTAGAGATAGAAACTGCTTGCTACGATGCTATTAGCTAAATAACTCTTTTTAAAAAGGAATTAAAGCAAAAACACGCACATCCAAGTGCCACCTGCTTAAATTTACACACCCGTTCCTCAGCACTGATGATCAAAGGATATTCTACATTGTTACAGAAACAATAATGAGATACCCAATGATGTGACCACTGTCAAGCAAACAATCACAAATAATGTAGGTCCTTGGTTTTCTACAAGGCTTCACAAATGTTAAGATAGCATTATCTTGGCTTAAATTCAACCACTCATCAGATTATCATCTGTGTACATTCTCCTGGATTCGTGGAAAGGCATATATGGAGCGGAAAGGGCACTGCACTGAGGCACATATGTATATTGTGCTTCAGTGTACCCTTTAGGTTCATACTGAGCTTCATGATGGGCTGTTTTGGAGACGCCATTAAGATACCTCCACACCTCTCATTGCCCAGAATAGCAGCTTTGCCAGGACTGCTTGAGTGGTAGGGGCTTTGCAAACTGATCTCTACCCAGTAAATTAGGCAGATCTGCACACAGCTGGATTTTAACCTCTTCCCAAATGTAAGGATACCTAGCTATGAAGTGGCTGGCAACTACCTTATAGACATGGAATTGTAGCCAACTAAGTTTCACTTAAAGTAGGCCCACTGAAATTGATTTGCTTATTAAATTAGTCACGTCCAGCGCTTTTTTTCTAAAAAAAATATGTTTAGGGATACTCTCATTTTGACTCAAGAAAATCACCATTTTATAGTTCAAATTGGGAAAAGTAAATACAGTAAATGGACAAAAGTACAAAGATTTACAAAATCTTTAGGGGTATGCGTACACCTGCATCCGCCCAGAAAAAAAGCACTGGTCACGTACATCCTGAATGTGACCTATGGCTGCTGAATCAAAAAACCCCTTGATTTTAGAATATTTATGCAGGCAAGTTTCCAGTCTCTCAGTAGGAAAGTACATGTGAGACAGGAAGGGGACAGCTTAAAGTCTGCAACTCCACAAAAACTGCACACACTCTAATCACATAAGGAAGATTGATTCTCCAACCGATATTCTGACAAAGTTTTTGGCAAAGTACCATAATTCATAATAAAATTCTAGTGACATTATTACCTCTGTGAATTTTCTACTAATGGACAAACCCATCCAAATACTCAGTTTAACTCTGTTGCCTGGGGCGGTATTCAACAAATGCGAACCATAGATGCAAGGATTTCCACTTGTGCAAACATAATTTCCCTACCTCTTCTCCCCCTGCATATAGCCCACAGCCTCTAGAGGGTTGAGTGAACCCCAGGAGCAGATTTAGGGGCACAGAATGGAGAAGAGGGAACTAACATTCGGTTGCTCTGTTGAATCTCACCCTTGGTTTAACCCCCTGCCTCCCAGCAATAACTTAAGTAACCCAAATATATTGTCCATTGTGCATTTCTTCTCCCCTCCAGCTGTTCCTTTTCCTTTCATCGCTCTGACTAATCCACACTCAGAATTCCATGCCTTACACATCTGTTTTCCCGCCTGCCAAATCTGTGGCTAGGCTTTCCCATATTCCCATGCCTTCTATCCTGCAAATGACACAGGTGGCACTCAGCAAAATAAGGGCCAGTCTGCATGTTACATACCTCATAATGCAAGCCAGATATGTGTGCTCTTGAGGAATCATGTGTGGTCTGAAATGCATGTGTGTGACTCCAACTCCTGAAATTGTACCCCTGCAAAGTAGGAAAAGGAACCAGCACACTAGATAGGATGCAAAGTGGTTGCATATTCTTTCAGGGTCCCATTTTCTGGCAAAAGTCACCCAAGCCAGGGTTTATCAAGGGTTTGCCTTATCTTATTTGCAATGCCACAGGCAGTGTTTGAATTACCAGGAAGTAGAGTGGCCATTTGTCCTAATTTATGGGGCATGGTCTTCTGTTTTGAAGGTGTCCTCAATTTGATGGCTATTCAGTCTTAAGGGAGAGCAGGAGCCTTAAAGTTGCCCATGAACAGTTAGCAACACCCGGCCAGCGTACTGAGCAGGTCCACAAGTCACCAGGTGCTTTCCCTGCTATGGTGAGAAGTATTCATACTGTCAATACTCACTTTTTAGGGCACTTTTTTGGGTACCCAGCTGTTTTTAGACTACAACATCCCTGACCACTGGTCCTGCTAGCTAGGGATAATGGGAATTGCAGTCCAACAACAGCAGGGGACCAAAGTTTGAGAAACACTTAGAGAAAGAAGTTGTGGCGCAACAATTACAAATACTCTTCGATGTGACAAATATTATCTTCTTGACCCATTTCAGGCTGGGTTCAAGCCTGATAATGGGATTGAATCGGTCTTGGCTGCCCTGATGGGTAACCTTTATTGGGAGAAGGAAAGTGTGACTCTTCTGTTCTTACTTGATCTCTCAGTGGCTTTTCATACCATTAGTATCCTGAGCTGACGTAATGAGATGGTTATCGGAGGCACTGCTTTAATGTAGTTCTATAGTAGGGTTGCCATATTTCAAAAAAGTGCATTTTTATTTTTTGCCAGAGTTAATGAAATCCACCAAAATCTACACTTCTGAAAGGCTGCCATACACCTGGATTTCCCCAGACATTTCAGCGATTTCCGCTCAGACGCTGTTTCTGATGGCCGAAACCCAGATATGTCTGGGAAATTCTGAACGTAGGGCAACCCTATATAGTATTGGGTGGTTGTGTTCCAGTCCCCTGGCAGTTATGCTGTGGGGTGCTGTAGGGTAGTAGCTTGTGCCCAATGCTGTTTAAAATCTGTAGGAAGCCATTGAACAGAAGAAGATTTGGGGTAAGGTGTCATCCGTACTCTGATGCTACTCAGCTCTGTTATTCTCTAACATCTGAATCAGGAAAGGTCATGCAAGTCCTGGACTGATGCCTGGACTCAGTGGTGGACTGGACGAGGGCCAAGAAACTGACTGATTCCTGGCAAGGCAGAGGCGCTATGTGTGGGTGGTTTCTTTGCCTGAATAATTGGT